TCACGAAGGCAGATAGTGATGTTTTTCAGGTTTATATGACGCGAATTTGAATGGATCACGCATTACACGTAATTGTATAAATGATTATACAAAAGACAGTTGTGCCGTCAGCAGCTAACATCGTTTATCAGGACACATGCACAAACATCAGAAGTCTTGTCTGTCTCGAGCCATTGTGAAATTAGTTTAAGAATATTAAATATATGATAATGTAAATTATCAACAATTAGGATTATAATGGATATTTTTTTAATGACCTACATAAGAGTCATATCACATGTAGATTCAATAATGCATCTAGCCTTGGATTAATATTAATTTAATAATATTAACTTTGGTTAGCTCTATTAATAATACAATAACTGATACACTTCACGTGATAAATATCCAGGAATATAATTATATACTCCGTCAAAGATGCAGAACGTATAAAGGACTTAATATGAATCATGTTTTATGTACAGTTTGACACTTATTATGTTGTGAAATCTGCGTGCTCTGTTATATATATAATACGATTTTTTGAAACCCACCGCCACCAATAAAAAGATTACATTATTTTATATATGTCTACTTGTGATTTATTTATGCCATTAATCTTGAAAATTTCATAAGAGGCGTTAGTTTTTTTTTATGCCTAAATTCTGAGCATAATTATAAGGTTCGTAATACTTGTAAGAACTTACACAAACGTTTATAACTTGATGCGATATCTTTACAGATTGCTTCTTACTAGCCGTAAGATTTTTGAGAAATCGTTAGATATTAACGAATGATCGAACATCTTACGACGTGTACGCATAAAATTATAGAACATCTGTCACAAGTTTTTATGTCTTGCCAGATTGTGAAAAGACTCGCTTAAAGATAGTACTTGTCCGAATATGTATCTGGAATTTTAATATTTTGACAGCGGCATTACCGTCCGAGTTTTATTTGAATTTTAATATAATAATAAAATAGAATGCAACATGAAAGGTTGTATAACACATGGTGTAAGGAAACAAGGTGACCCAGTCCCGTGGATGCGCTGTGGCAAATAGCGCCAGCCAATCAACGCCTCACTTTGGTCACTGAAATTGAAGATGGCAGCGAGCGCGATTTCAGTCATTTTCAGTGTAGCTGTCAAATTGCCGCGAATCCGGATTAGTAGGAAATATTAATTATTTACATTAGCCATTAGTTGATAAGCTGTTAATAGCATTTTATCGTTATTGTTATTGTTTTGTGGTTATTGTTAATTATTGTTAATTGTTAATTGTTCTGTTTTTATTGAAAATTTGATAAGTGCTCTTGGAGAAGTTGATTAGTAAAAATTATTGTACATGTATTAATTGTATTGTATGTTTTACAAATTCATAATATATGTATGAAAGATGAAATACACGCTAAAATTATTATTATTATTATAATAATATGAATTATAATATTATTATACTTTTATGAATTATTTATGATTTTGGCAAGAAAATAAGTTTTCTGCAAATTTTTTGTTCAAAATCTCGTAATTTCATCAATTTCCAAGTTCTCTAGTCTACCTTCTCTTAAAATGTAAGAGCAGGCTTAAAGCACTAAATGCTGCAGGTGT